CAACTTGGGTTTCGTCAACATACCCAGCAGCTTCATGTAAATGTGAAAAGGAATAAGGGAGAGTTTGCTACTGTTTAAGCTATCGATTTAAAAAATGCTTTCTCCTTGATTCAGAATAGCTTCCAGTTGTATACACATTACCATCTCCAAAGAAAGGAAAGCAAAGATGATTAAACATATCAATAAAAATTATCTTAAAAAGAAGTTACAGGACCCTAAACATTATGGTTACAAAAGAGTTATTAGATTCTTTTTAAATGAAGAAAGCAACAGCACACAGTTAGCATTTACATAAATATTTGTCATGTGTTTTTCCATGTCTCAGGAACAATTCTCAAGAAAGAATATAAATATATATTATCTTCAAAGTCTAGAAATATTATTTTTCATGTATTTGTTCTATAGCAATTATATGAAGTATTTAGTCATGATAATAAATTGTGATTAAGAAGGCTTCTGCAAAATACCATACTAGGAACTGAGGACTATGCTTCAGAGAAACATAAAATGTAAACTAAATATATAGTGGCGCTGATGTATAAATAATCCAGTTTTAGTTGAGTATAAAGTACAGTATATAGGCATTGAAGATCTGGCTCTTCCACCAGGCACTGGGCTCAAGGTGGAGATGAATTCTGCTAGTATGGGTGTTTAATAGTTAATTGTTTATTGGGTGCCGGGGGGGTTATGTTTGGGGCATTTGTTTTTAATCCTGTAAGCCACCCAGAGTCACTTGTATGAGATAGATGGCTATATAAATTATATAAATAAATAAATATGATGTACTATATTATTGACACACAGAAAGGGGTATTTCAATATACATACATTGGAAATTATGTTTGCTGGAAATATGATATGCATATTATATTTCCTGTAATTACTTGTCTCCATCTTAATTTCTTTTTTAAAACAGCAAAAAATGTAATTTTATTGCATTCATTTGCTTATAAAATATATGTACACTGCATATACCAGTAAACATTCCAAATGTAAGAGTTTGATTAACATTACTACACTCTCATGTTAGAATTTAGTTACCTGTCAATATAACACAAACTTTTGAAACCAGCATGTTCAATGTTCATTAATTTTCCGCACAGTTCTTGTTTACATATATATTTCATGCTACATCAAAACTATAGTATAGTATTAAGACACATAAAGTTTTCTTTCTCTGATCTTGTCTTAAGGGATCCAAAAACCAAAGTATATGGCTTAATTTTCTGCTACTTCCTTCATTTAATTTCAGATTAATCAAAATCTGAATGAATTCTAAACAGAATGAACATCAAACACAGTATTTTCAAAGTCTGACTAAACAATAAAATGAGAAATGTCTAATCAGGCAAAAACATTTACACTGCTGTATTGACTACTTTATCTGCTTTTCAAATTACTATTTCATTTATTTCAATCCAAGTACCATGGCTTTATGTTGAAAAACAGGCACCAATCACTAACAATGCCTAAATCAAACAATGTAATGATAGTAGATTACACTGTTATGATATTGTCAATATTGTTATGAAGGGTCCTTTCCTATCCTTGTAACAGAGGACTCAGCATCATCATGTGGAAGTCAAGAGTATCTGCTTCCAGCTTCTTTCAATATAGAAGCTCTTATGCCTCAATCACAAAATTCTCAAAATCTTAGTCTTTGATTTAGAAACATCTGAGTGTATATAGCCACACTCAAAAACAGCACCAAAAAAAAAAAAACTAGGTAAGAGGTAGTAATAAGGACCCCACAAATTTACTTGCCACATTATACTACATCTCATTCTCCAGGGCCAATTATGAACAAAGTGTGCAGCCATGATATTGCCACAAGGGAAATAATATGTGGAAAGCAGGGGTCTGGTGAACATATAGTACGAAACAGAAAGAATCTTTCATTTGGCCAGTTCAGACATAATTTCCCAGGAGGGAGTACTGTGTATGCTTCCTTGAGCTTCTGAATGAAAGTCAGGATATAAATCTAACAAATAAAGAATATTATGCAAATAAGGCCCAAGAAGCTTTGGATTTATAGCCTGTGTTCTCTTTCCCTCTTCATGTCCAACTTCTGATACCTACCAGAACAAAAACAACAACAAAGATCCCAACACAGGAAGGGAGACAGTATGCAAGATCAAGGCTTTTGAAAATCTATTCCTTTAAGGCCAAATTATACTTCAATGTTATATATGAATGGGGCCCATTTCAAGGCTAGTAGTATATAAAAGAGGAAACAGAAACATTAGTACTACAGTAAAATGAATGGAATGAAGCTTATATAAAGGAATATGTAATTAGAATTATCTTCAATGTACTCTGGCAAAATAAAAACCATAAACAGGAACAACACAGGAAGAAAAAAATCAATTGCTATCCTTTACCAATATCAATGGACACTAATGTACAAAATATACATAAATTATAAATCCTACTCCTTCTCTTTCATTACTTGAAGGCAAACAAAAGAAATGAAAATGATTTTGTTAAACCAAAGTTCTGTTATAGAGCATGTGGATATCCAGCAGACAGTAATGTTATGGTGGAACTGTATTTTCTATTCCACTCCAATTTGTTTTGTTGTTGATTTAGGGCTCTTCCTCAAACTCACAAATTCATGCAAATAATAACAAGAATTATGGATGTAATTGCTGGCAGAAGACTGAAAGCTCCAACGTTTAATTACTTCAGCACAATATCCAGGATGTTAAACCAGTGCAACAACAATGCAATTGCAATCATGCAGCTGTTTCAGGGCAAAACCTTATTGTATAACTTAGATCTGTGTTATAATAGGGCAGGAGAGGAGAGGAAAGGAGAGTAACAATTTTAAAGCAAAATCCCATTTACAATTATCAGGTCCAGATCTTGAATAGATACAACACTGCAATCAAGAAATCAGTATCTCAAATATGAACCCAGAAAGAATCTTGATTATCACAGTGTATATACTGACAGAAATCAAAGTTGGAGTTATGAGGAATACAATCATGTGTCTATGGAACACAAGACCAGGAAAAAGAAAGCAATAAGAAAGAGTGTTTATTAAAAAGTCTCCATATAAAACACAAAGCCATTAAGGATACAATTAGAAATAAGAGATCAACAAACTTGAGATTTGCATAGCTTAGCTTCTCATATAAATACTGTACCTATTTTCTTCGCATCATTCTACACCATTCTACAGCTCCCCAGATGTGCAGAATGGTGCCCAAAGACCTAGCAAAACTTGATAAAAAACATTTTGTATCTATGGTTTATTCTTCTTTTAAGCAAAATGTTTAGAGAATAAGCAACGTTATTTTCTGTATGATATAGGCTACTATCCCCTTAAACCCAGCAAGTATAACAAATACTCTGGGATTAGTAGGCTTTTAGTACAAACATGTAGAAGCATCAAGTTATTTAGTCCATTAAAAATTATTATACATATAGCACACACATACATAAACATTTGGTATCAGACATATCAGTTATCCCCAAACTAGAACTGAAAGGAAAATACAGATATACTCCAAAATATCTTTATTAGCACACATTTTCACACCTGAAGACTGTTTCTGTCTCTCAAAGCAGGTACTGTTTAGGGTAATCCAGAATGATTGATACATTCATTTTTAATCTTACCATAGAAAACATGTAATATTTTTATCTTTTGAGACCAACAGAAAAAATCATATCAATTTTTATCAGCAATCTTGATCTATGTAAATAAAAATTACTCTCATCACAAACACTATATGAAAACTGAACACAAGATTTACACACAGAACATTTACAGATCCAGTTAAATTATTCAAATTATATGAAGCAAACGTCTAACTATATACACAGATACAGATGTACATGCACTATGACCTTATACAAATGAAGACCAGAATGTATTTATTTAATCTAATCTGTTAAATTTCCTCACAATATTTGGTTTCCTGGTTCCAGACTAAGTTACATGCATCTGTACAGTACTGTTATAGTGAATGCAAACTAAAGTCAAGAAGTGTGTATACTCCTAAAATATTTAAATCAAGTATTTTATGCCAACTGTGCCAGTTCATGCAGATTATGCCAATCTATGCCAATTTCAATAGAAATACCGAAAGATAAAGCTATAAAATCATACTGAAACCATATTGTGCATAAACTTAAATCTCATAAACTCTGATTACAGTACCAAGGGCCTGACTGACAATCAGGAAAGACAGCTATGGGGATTCTCTTTTCATATATAACAGACTCATATTCAATAATGAATATGTTTTACATATTTTTTAAAAAGTGAAAAGCTTTGAAATATAATCTGAAAGGCTAGAGGATTTTCAAGCTATACTGATGAGCCCAAAGTAAGAAGTTTCACACGGATTTCAGGAAATGATTCCATTTTGTGGGATTCCTTACAGCGTTCCCCTACTCAGAAGCAGCACTGCCTCAAGACGGATTTTAATGTATACTTCAGAAGGACGTTTATGTTATGTCAATTATGCAAACTTATTAGCTGGAAAACTAAAGTTCTTTCTTAAGTTACCTACAGATATTTCTTAAGTTAAATATTAACTGTGTTGTGTTATCCTTATGAATATTTGTGTGTGCATTGCAGTAGATACCAAAGAACGCCTACCCGTTTCGTCAACAGCGTAAAAACGCGGAATACTTGTGAACTTTCGGAGTCCTCCTTTCCCCTTACATCCTGCCTTAGCAATTCTTAGTATCGTACTTCTTTTCTACTCTGCGCTTCAATCACCCAATCCAAGAAACCCTACACTCTTCTCAAACTGCGCTCCCATCTGCTGTTTTGGCCCAAGCAAGAGGAGGAGTCGGAGAAATAATCCAAACAGCAAACCAGCGCCCCCAGACCTTGTAGGGGCAAGAAAAGATTATCAGGGCATGTGCGCGAGGGAATCTTGCCGCAAGCTCGACTATTTGCTTTGCCTGTTAGTGCCAAAACCAGCCTCCCCCCCCGCCCCCCCCATACTTTTGATTCCCGCCTTTCCCAACTTCTCACTCACTCTTGGTCGCGGCGATGAGGGTCTTGCCATCCTTGAGTAGCTCTTTGATGAACTTGTTGGTTTTCTCCAGCTCCGCTTCATGAGCTCGTATCCTTTCACGGAACCAGGGGCTGTCTTGGTAGCAATCGCTGAACTCCAAAGGCTGCAGTCCCATGGCTGCTGAGGCGGCGGCGGGGCTACTCCGAAATACCTCAGACTGTGCAGTCCTTCTTCAGGAGGTTGCGGGAGCACGCTCGCCTTCTCCTCCCGACCAGGGCCGGTCCCTACAGCGCCTCACCA